TCCTAATGCGATCAGTCTTTCTGACATTCAGCATTACTTTTAGTGGTCCGTGTAAATAGATATGTGTGACATGAAGGGTTGTAGGAAGAAATCCCATAAGGGATATGCAGTACCTATATACAGTACTTTTGTTTTTATTGTTTCCTGTGTATTGTCTGTGTTGTTCGTGTACTTAAATTAGTAAATAAATAAATAAGTGCTGAAGTGTCGGTCCAATATAAGCGTAAATATCCTTTTTTTTCAAAGGTTCATTAAAGGCTAGATGTTATCTATTTATCTAAGTACATAACAAAAAATAATTATCGCTAAAACTGGAGAAAGGCTGAACCGATTTGGCTAATTTTTGTCTTGAAATGTTCGTGGAAGTCCAGAAAAGGTTAAAAGGGGGAGAAAAAACCGAAAAGGCGAAGTTCCATAAAAATGAAACACATATTAAATGTTTCTATCTTTATTTGTCAAAGTTTACCTTATCAATAGTTACAATAATCATTTATTAAGGTATCGTCCACCTACAGTTTGCAATGACTTCGTAAAGTAATCGACCCAATCATATTTATATCAAACACTTCGATTGCCTAATGCATATTATTGCATTAATTTAATAAATAAAATCATTTTTTTATTCAATAAATTATTATAAATTTACTATTTACAAATAATATATTCATAAGATTATTATTTACATTTTATAATACAATTTGTTTTCAATCTTTATTATTTTTATTTAAACATTCGACTAGAAAAACAACTACAAAATAACAATATAATAATTCAGTGCTATTTATTTTTAATCGTGTACTTAAAAATCTGTTTACAATAATTATTATAATTATTTACAATAAATTTCCTATTCATTAATTAAATGTAACATTAATATAATTATGTAAACAATAATTACATTTTTATAATAAATCTAACAATATAATTGAAATGAAATAAAATAAAAGGTAAAGTTTATTATCTATTAAAATATAAGTCTTTCTATGTTTTCTAAAATAAGATAGTATTAAATTAAATGTCAAGTACGAGTTTCGTATCCAAAATGAATACATTTAATGAAACACCGCTTTTTTCTTTTATTTCATTTTCATTATGTGTCAGGATTGAAATGACCAAATTATTGCGAAAAAGTTAAATTAAATTGCTAAACAGGTTTCTCGAAGAAATGAATAAAATGTGGGATTGCTGTCACAAGACAAAAACTTATTCAGATTGACATTTGATTTATTATTTGAATTAAATAAGTAATTGTTTTGTTTATTGTTGTACAGATTGAATGAATTTCGTTTTAAAATCAAACGTTGATTTTAAATTGTAATATTATGCTAAAATAAATTATTATTCATGTTGAATCGATAAAATAAATGAGATATTTTCATGTAATAAAATATTTATATTTTTATTACATACTGACATAAAAGTTACAGTTAACAAAACTAAAAGTGACAACATTCATTGTTTTGTATAACTTTAGTAATTTTTTTGTAAATGTTTAAAGTATTTAGTAAACAAAAAGATTTAATAATTGTATTATAAAATACCCACCTCTATTATCGGTGTTCGTAGCACCTTAGAATTTCATTTTACATCAATAACATAAATTACAAAACGATTTTGGGTCTTAGTACTTATTATTTTGTAATACAATCGCTATTACTTATAAATGATACCACAATTTTGCGGTATAAGTATGTATCTAGCGTTAAATTTAGTTTTATTTACATTTCGCTGAAATTAGAAGGCCTTTTTCTTGAATTTAATAGTTTAGTAGGTAAAGTTGGGTCGAGTTTTCGCAGAAAATTCCAGAACGAACCGACTAATTGTAAATATTAGCCTGTTTCAAATTGTGTGGATTTAAGAATTTATATTTATGTTAGAAGCTTTCTGTGTCAGTTAAATATATTTCGTTGAAATTAAAATGAAATAAATTGTTACGTAATTTTGTGAAGACAAATCAATTGGTTAGTTAGATAACCTTTTTTAATGTGTCACTAATATTAGAAATGTTTCTGTATGTATGATAGTTACTCAAGTACATCAAAAACGTCTAAAGAGAACGGGATGAAATTTGAAACAGGGCTAGATTATGGTCTGATATTACAGAAACGCGTGGGAAGCCGCGGGCACAAGCTAGTCTTTATATATATAATTCTTCTGTGAGTGTGTATGTCACTGAACATCTCTCAAACGACGGGACCGATTTTGATAAAAAAATTTGTATGTGTTCAAGGGGATCTGGGAATGGTTTAGATTCACAAATCATCCCGGCAGATGGCGCTGCAGTCGATGTTTAGGTTATTTATCCTAAACAGCTGAACTAATTTGAATGAATTTTTGTTTATACATTCAAGTCGATATGCAGGACAACGTCTGTTGGGTCCGCTAGTACATATATAAAAATGAAACCCGTTTCCCGTTGTCACGCCATAACTTGAGAACGGCTAGAAAGATTTGGATGATTTTTTATTTGTTGTGTTTGTTATTGTCAGGAGAAAGATCTTAAGACAGAAGAAATCCTGAAAATCCTACGGGAAGGGGTTAAAACGAGACTGCGCGTACGAAGTCGCGGGCAGAAGCTAGTGTGTCATAAAATATTATAGATCTTTTTAAGCCTTTGACTGTTGACAGGTACAGATAGTTTTTTGACTGTTGTTGGCAAATCGACGGCTATATATAGCCCATTGGCACCCAAGGCGTTCAGGGTGTTAAAATAAACAAAAAATACAATGTTGAAAATGAAAAGAATTGATGTAGTTTTTTCTTGACATTACAGTATCGTTTTCAACTCTCAGTAAAGTCTCTTATAAAGAAACTATACTTACATAGGTACATGATACAATTTATAATAATCCCGGCAATATAATGAAATTAAAATTCGACGTTATTACAATATTCATATAATTTATTTTACCCTAAACTTATCAAAATGAAGGCTATTCTATACACAGTTCAATGAAAAAGGTTTTTTATTTTACACAATAGTTACCGACGTGGATTGTTTGAATGGGACAAATTCATTGTTCAATTTATTATTTAAAAAGATAAGTTTAACTTAACTAAAAAGGTTTTTATTATTAACTTTATTAAATATAGAATCTCGTTATAATAAATGAAACTGAGTCCATATCTCTACTTGAAATCTAAAACTCTGTTTGCAATGTTCTTTTTAGTTATTGCTTAATTTCTTAACTGGCTCATTGGCCGAGTGGTCGCAAGTGCGACTGCCGGGCAAGGGGTCTCGGGGCAAAATAATACTGGGTCTTTTTCCAAAAATCTCAGTCGTAGCACGGAGTCTGGAATTGTGCCCGGTATATGGCAATAGGCTCACCCCCTATTACATGGGATTCATAACATAAATAATGAAAGTGGGTGTTACATTGTACAGTGGCATTAAGTGCCGTAATGTACACCTCTGTCTGGTCTTCGGGGATAAACGCCGTTAAATAATGTTATGTTATTAATTTCTTTATTACATTGATAAATATAAAATGAATTTAAAACGGATAATGAAGGAATCATATCCGAACTTGTATGCAGTCTTAATAAAAATGTATTCTTCACTACGAATAAAACACAATTCCAAAACTTCCTTATTTAAGAAAAGAAGAATGAAATATAAAAACGAAATCTAAAACGTAATTCGATAAAACCACTGAACATGTTCACTGGTCCAAAAATGGCGGACAAAATCGAAATTAACAGTCGAAAATCAAAGACAGGGTAGCCATCTTGTAACTTGAATATTTAATCACCCATTACATTTTGATCCGTTGAAATCCTTTAATTTAAAACTCATTGGACTGGGTCTGGCCTCTGGCACATTTAGAAATACGTATAAATTTAGGTAGTCATTCTGTAATACATTGAAATCTAGGTATTTTATATGTACTAATGTTGTAAAGACGAAAGATTCGTTTGTTTGTATTGTACTCAGGTAAAGAGCAAACAGACTATTTTCCTTTTTTCAAGGAGCAAAATTAACTGGCTTGGTTAGTAGATAGTTTTTATTTTGGACGGGGGAAAATCATCCAGTGACTTTTCCCGCCCGGGCGAGGCGAGAGGGAGCGTCAGACTCTTACTGACCTAAAACCACCCAGTTCCTATTCCTGCACAGCCGGAGCCCCGGCTACCCGTTAAGTGTTCCGCTCAGTATCGGCATCAGCTCTATTGGACCCTATCTGGGGTGGTTAGTAGGTCGTGCATCTGAAAATGATTGATGCAATATTTGACCTACCAATGCGACGAAATTTCGACAGTGGAGGGATATTTTAAGAAAAGTCTAAGACTGGGTTTTAAAAATGTTTCACATTTAATCCTTACTATTATAAATGGGAAAGTGAGTTTATTTGTTTGTTCCGGTTTCACGCCGTAACTACTAAACCGATTGCTTTGAATTTTTGCAGACGTAAAGTTAGAAGTCCGGATTAAATAATAAGGTACTTTTTATCCCGGAAAAATTGATATTCTCGAGGGAAAACAAAAGTACCTATTGGTATAGATGGCGCTGTGTGTATTGGTATATGTCACATAGGCTACTTTTATCCTTTTGTGACGCGAGCGAAGCTGCGGGCTAGTGGGTTATATTTCAGAGAATAAACCTTGTTTGCTTTTTTATTGTTCCTGGAAAACTGCTTCCTATTCGAGAGATATCTTTTAAATCTGTCTCAAACGAAGCTACAGGCGGAAAGCTAGTGTAAAGATAATTTGATTTACAGATTCTTAGAATCATAGGATGACTGAAAACATTTCTGACTTAGCTATTTCAATCTGTTTTGTTGTATATTATGTCAAAAAGCTATACCCTAGTATTGGATGTATACATTGTATCGTTGTTGGTAAGTATATATATTAAATTATATTTTAAAAAACCAAGTGAAAGAAAATAGACATTAATGAAAAACATTTAGACCGAAAAAAAATATAATCACATCTCATTAGATCCCCCTTTTTGCTGAAGAGTTTTTCTATTAAAACAAACATGTAGTCATTAAATTTTTCCCATAAGACTCCGTAACATAATTATTGCAACAACATTATACATAGTCTTTAAGACTAATACAAACGTCCCTTACAAAAAATCCACGTAGTCAACTACCACAACATAGTCTTATCAAAACCTAAATAATGTCGGAATACTCAAACGCTACTCAATTTTAAGTCGTGCTTAAGTATAGTTCTGTCTCTACAAATTCTTTGTAAAATGACAGAGATGGCACGATATTTGAGCACGACTTAAAATTGAGTATCGTTTCAGTATTCCGGCATAAGACTCATTTTTATAATACAAATATTTGAACAACTTCCATTATAAGTGTTGTCTCAAAACTTTTGTAATTTTCATCTGAATCCATCTACCGTGCTGGTATATAGGGTAGCGAGAGTGCAATATAATGAGATGAGTAAATTAACTGACAGCGCACACGGTGATGCTGTGTTTGCGTTGCCATGCTGCATCGCTGCTGGCTGCTCGCCTGTTGAGAAAAAGAGAGGTATTAGAACATACTTTTAGATATGTATTGTAAAAAAGTAAGTGTGGGAGAGCCATGCTTCGGCACGCATGCGCCGGCTCGTCCGGAGTGATACCACGGCCTCACAGAAAACCGACGTGAAACAACGCTTACGTTGTGTTTCGTCGTGAGTGAGGTTACCGGAGGCTCAATTACGCACCCCCCTCCCCAGTCTCTTCAATTCCCGAATCCTCCACTGTCCTCAAATTCTCAATTCCCAAAAGGCCGGTAACTCACTTGAAACGCCTCGGTGTTTCAGGTGTCCATGGGCGGCGAAGATTGCTTACCATCAGGTGATCCGTCTGCTCGTTTACCGGCTTATACCATAAATAAAATATGAAAAGATTGACGTTTGTGACATCGTCACATTTTTTTTATGTAATGTGTCAATGTTTGGACACTGTGACTATCTCGCCTAGGTAATGATGCGACCGACGATGGAGCCAGTTTGCCCATAAGCAACTTATTCACTCAAGCCCTAAGACGACCAGTTAATGTGCCTGAATTCTCGAATAATATTTTTAAATCGAGTATTATTGACTGTTTAATTAAAAATAAATAGTTAGTAACTTGGAACCTCTTTCTCAGACACGACTTAGTAAATGAAAACTAGTGTAAATGTAAATGTGAAAATGTAACTAGTGTATGGCAATAGGCTTACCATTATTTCATAGTACTTATAACATTACTGGTCCAACGTTTTTAGTATTTTAGATATGCTCTCATACCTACTGATGTTTGTAAACTTATATCATTAGAAGGGCAACGCCTATAGTTGTACGCGAAAACTCAAAACTAAGAATTGGATAAACAATTTGCATGATTTAAGCTTGGTAATTTGTGGTAATGTTGTTAGCTTCTTGTATTGGAAATGCTCCCAGCATTAGCACAAGACCTAGATTCATATGACAATTGTTTCGACCCCGATAAATAGGAATACTAATGTGGTAGTGGGTGGTGTATATTGTACCTAGTATATTACATATATAAGTCTTGATTCCCTTAAAAGATCAAAGGTCTACCTACAACATCCAATATAGGCTAGTTATTCTATTTATTCCATGGAAAAGGTCATCTGTCTATTGTTCTATATTGAAAATTACTTTAAACATAGTGCTATGTAGCATAATATTTGTAATTTTGATCAGTAAAGAGGTAGCGAGTTAACGCCTTACTGATGATATTTTTTATGTCTTTTTATTCACGAGTTTAATTTTAGTAATTTTAACTTGTATATTGCTAATTTTTTTATTACCTATATTTACAACTTAAAATTAACTGCAACTAAACTATTAAATAAAATGAAAGTAAAAAAAAAGAAAACAACAAAAATTATACCCTTAATTTAGGCGTCAAAGTATTCGTCCGCATCACTATCACAGGGGAACGTTCCCAGAAGACTGGCAGCATTGCCACGTTGAATGGCAATGCTTATTTTCTGTCCGAATAAAAAGCCAGCCCTCTGGTCACGTGTAGAGTCGATTAGCCTACGGGCGATATCTTTAAACACAGAGTGTGATCAGAGTTTAAACAGCATCAGATTGATCCGATACGGGTTGAGTAGGAAGCGCGTATTTAGGTCACATTATCTTAACAAGGGTGACGTAAGTGCCAACTTAGAGATTATATCAGATGGAGGGGGTGCAAAACCCTCGAGAAATGCTCCCTTGAGAGGACTATAAACTATAATAAGGCTTAATTTGGTACTTGTATAGTAAAGCTGTTAGTAAAGTGCTGGTTGTAGGAAACAAACGTTGTGATAGTTTATTGTTTTGTTTTAATTGGTTTCGTATATGCAATAATAGACTTTAATGTCAATTTACCTAACGTTTCTTATACATCACACATAATACACTTTGCTTTTTATTGCCCAAGTACATAGGAGTGAAATATGACACCTTTTTACCTAATCGCATATCTATTGTTCGCAGATCATTGGTCTTATTAATAGATATCGAATCTATTGTAGAAACTCCATCTATTACAAAATTATGAAATGTATTCTTAAAAAAATTTTGCACACCATGTGGATCATACTTCAAACTTCATCATCAATACTCACGACCCTTTGGCGAACGACAACAACTAATGCAAATACCATTGCTAAAGAAAACTGAAGACTAAACTTATTCTCATAATTACTTCACATAATTGTTCCCACCATTTATAACATGCACATTAACAGAAGCTGCTTCAGCCATAGTGGGCACACAGCTATAGTTCCCGCTGTCCCCCGGCAACAACTTCTCCACCGTCAGTCGTGACGTCAGCTGTTCCGTCCACTCCGTCTTTAGCCTCACTCGAGGTTCCTCCACCAGCTCATTCTCTTCTAGTTCCTTATATTCTATTATGTTTGATCCTGTGGAAAGAGTGGTCAATTTTAATTTTGATTTTTTTCTAACAATAAACGTGCATTTTTATTCCTATTTCATATTTAAATTTTGAGGAAATGGCAAAATAAATACCAAGAGTTTATTAAACTGCGTGTCCTCTAGTTCACAGTAAAAATACAAATTTATTTAAATTGCAGTGATATGTTATAAAAATATTCAGTTTTTTTATTTTAAAAGGCTTCATGCTCACACTTATGTACAAGGTGGGCTTAATGCCATGGGGATTCTCTTCCAGCCAGACTTTTGGGTGATGCAGAGACAAAACCTTATTTATCTCTTTTACTCTTTTTTATTACGTGTTAAATCCCCATCGATGCTTAAATTCCTAATCCCCAAAAGGCTGGTAACGCCGGGCGACGCCGATTGCTTACCATCAGATGCTCCGATGGCTGGGTAACCGTCTTATCCCATAAAAAATATATGTAAGGAAATTAGTATTCATGTTTAAGTTTACTTATTATGTTACTAAAAATAACTTACCCTTATACCAAAATATCGTGCCCAAATCGTGTGGGCCCTGGCTTAGTATACATGTAAGCGACAGAGAACTGCCAGTTTTCACGTACAGGTCAACCGGACCGAGGATGTGCGCTTTCGCTTCTGTTAACAAGGAAGAGGAACATAATTAATAATTAGTTTATTTATAAGATCACCTTGGTAGTATAAGAAACAATAATTATATATAACGTTATCATTGTCCCTATTTTCAAAAAAAACAAAATATTTTTCATTTGGAATTTTTTTTTGTTCGACACAAATAAGTCAAAATAATATTCATTTAAATATCGATTTCTACCTCCTTGTTTGAATGTTTAAATCTAAAACCTGATTCTTAATTTAAAAAGCTAATAGCGAGATATTCGACGACAAACATACATAGATTTCACAGACGCACATGGCGCAACTGAGAATTTCCTTTTTTTCTTTTAAATTATTATTATGGCTGCAGTTGTCAGAGAGAATATTAACATGCCATAGTTGCGGGAAGCCAAGGGATCCAGGTGGCGGATTGTCATTCGACGTGGATGTCTAAGGGGAAGACCTTTGTCCAGTAGTGGACGTCTTCCGGCTGTTGATGATGGTAATGATAATTATGATGAGGCCTATAGGTAGATTATTAGATGCTATTGATGATATTAAAAACTAGCTTTTGTTGCTCCAGTAATAAGGATTCGTTTAAAAAAGTGGTATAGATTTAATCGCACTGATACAAAATAAAAGAGATACACAGTTATTTCATGGAAGTCATGACACGTAGTAGCTCAGCTACTAACCTTGTAGATTAGAAGTAAAGTGGTCTTTCATGCTTTAGTTTAACTGAACAAGGAACAGAAGCAAGAACCTCAGATGTAAGTATCAAACCACTATTTGTATTAAATGTAGTGGAAGTACGAGCAAATCCTGGGGGAAATTAGCTGTTTGAGATACAAACTAATTAAATTGAAGAACTTTGTTGCAATTTCCATTATTACACAAGTTTCTAGGAAACCATTATTGTGACCCCAGCTGACATCTTTTATACTAGTCTCAACGCGTCCTTCAAAAAAAAATCTTGGTATTAAGTATTCCTAATTACAAAATGAAAGCGGATTAAGATTTTTATTCGGCTCCGTTTTCCGTCGAAGTCACAAAATATTCATCAGAAAATTCGTTAATGAATTCACTTAGTTATTCCCAAGAGTAATTTAGGGAACAAAATATTAAACCTAAGTAAGTACACTTTCATACATTTAGAATAGCGTCATACATTTTTTAACAACTCGTTCGGAGTGTTTTACGAAGTAGACAATTTCCAGACTAAATTTTGCCGTAGGTAAGCACTGTGGAATTACCAAAAAACCAAATCTACCAGCTCAACATTATTAAGACCGCGTAAGGACATTTAAAATTCAAATCACACTCGTAATATGAAAAATGTGCGCCAAATTCATTCTGCTCTTACGGCTAAAATTCTTAATAACACAAGTGTTTTCCATAACAATAATAATTCTATGAATACATAAGGGTGTTGTATAATCGTTGAAAAAGAAAAGAAATCTCATTTTCTCTTTTATCGTCCTAATTCCGCAAAAGATGTTGTCTGTTAAGATATTAAAGACACAAGAGCCAATGAAGTACCTTCTAACCGTGATACAGCACGTATACAGTATACAGAAAATGCCTCTTAAAACGATGAAGAAAAAATTAGGGCAAGATTAAATCTGCTCAAGGTTGCGTTGAAGCCCTCATTCCACATTGTTATCGGGGGATTTGAAAAGTTCAAGAGGGTACATGTAAAGAGATTCCGTAGACACGGCTAATAAACAAGGATAAAAAAATAAGGATTTATTATTAAAACTTTGGCGAGGAAAAGATCAGAAATGTTAAAGTAAAAAGATAATTAAAGAAGATTTGTTTTTCTCAAAGAGGTAAACAAAGGTATACAAACTTTTTGCTTTAAGTCTCTCAGAAATGTCTGAAATGTTCCCTTGTGCCTTGATTGCTTGATAATCATCATCATTATCATCAACAACAGCCTATAAATGCCCACTGCTGAGCAAAGCCTCTTCTCACACGGAGAAGGTTTGAGCATTAATCACCGCGCTTGCTCGGGGGTTGGCGATTTCAAATTTATAATTAGAAATTATAAGTCCAGGTTTTCTAACGTTGTTTTCCTTTACCGTTTATCAGAAATGTATAAATAATCTTAGAAAGTACATATAACTCGGGGAAAGTCACATTGGTACTTGACTTTGGTAGGTTTCGAACCCTCATGCATGAGAAGCGGGCCTCTAAACCTCAGGGCCACCACGACAAGTTTCCGAGTTTACTTGATAAGAGTAATACCAACGCAATCAAGCCTTTTATTGGAGTACTCGATTAAAACACGAATTAAAACACGAAAGCAAAATATATTAACCTTTTTTAGAGATACCTTTCAAAATGAGGCATGTAAATGAATATAAACATTATTTTAATGAAATCGTTTGTTTTAAGCATGACATCAGGCATAAATATAATGATACTGTGGTATGCCAAAGTATGAATTAAATTATGACACTATTACCAACATTTTACGTGTAAATAGGTTTTACTGTGATCTCAAGTAACGACGTCATGAACCATAATTATATTTATCATTGCCTGCCCTCAGCTGAAAACCTTTTTATTAGATTTCGTATCTAAAAACTTATTGAATAAAACTCATATTTGATTGCAGATTTCTTTAGCATTACTTTGTAATAATATTGCTTTTATTCCATTATATATATGAAAGCAAATAAGTATGTTTTTCTGAGTCTAATCATTTTATCTATATTTTCTAACTAAATAATGGTATCTTTGATATCAAGAGCTGAACTGTAATCGCCATTGGTTTCATCTATTTGTTTGATTTCAGGATCAATATTTAAATTATATTTGTTGTATAAAAGTGACTTATCAAATAGTTTATTTTATTCTTTAAGATTGGAATAAAGGTACAATTATTTATTGTATTTTTACCAGTAATATTAGATAATGTATGAAGAACCTTCTATCCAAGTCTAAACTCTAATAACACGTTAACGGCCGCGTAAGTCACCAGTGACCTACGTTAGTGGAGGATTTGCCTTCAACAGTTTTCTGCCGGCAGTCAAAGGTATAAATAGGTACAAAAAATTTGGAATCAAAAGGTTCTCCAACGAATGATAATGACAATTGTTGTAGAAGACAAATGACAATTGTTTCCATAATAATGAATCTGGTTGAAACACAAGGATCTTCTTCATCTACAACTAAAACCAAAAACATAAACAAGATTTATTCAAGAAAGTCATCATCAAAAACAAATTCATCTTCATTAATAATTTCAACGCCGAATCCGTCTTTCATTATGGTCTTGCCAAAATAGTCTGATAAATCAAAAGTTCTTGTGATACCCAAAGTCTCTAAAAACATCTTTAGCGTTTGACCCACTTCGTAAATATTCAAGTTTGGTAGCATGTTTTGCCGTGTCATTAGAACGGCTCAAGTGAGGCGAAGCAAGGCAAGACAGAGCAACGGTAATGCCTTGTTCGCACTACGTCTAGTATTTTAGATGAGTACCAAATATTTAGGACTGAAGTAGTCAGAGGTCCAATTATCCCTCTCCCTGATATCTCAATCCCCAAATCCCTAATCCATATATTCCTAACCTTAAAGGGTTATGGTGTTTTGTACTTACTATATTCCTTACCATCAGGTGATCAGTAAGCTCATTTATTGACTTATCCCATAAAAGAAATAACTTTCTCTCACTTTGATTTTGCGTCAGAAGCAAAAAGAGCTACTAAATACTCGCTACTCGACCAAAATACTAGTATGCAAACAAGTGCTAAGGAAGCTTGGAAAATTGCAATGTCAAATGATGCCAGTTTTAGCCTTTGTATTGTATGTAGTTGTAAAGTTTGCGGTTAAACTTGGCTTGCATCAGTGATGAACGCTACTCCACTTAGTTCATGCCTCATTCAAGCTATTTGATGCTTTAGTTAGTTCTGGATTTGAGATGTCAATTTTGTAGTTTAGTTGGATGACTTTATTAAGATTTTTTGTGTCACGGTTTTTACTTACATTCATAGGATAAAAATGTGAGTTGTGTTTTCATGGTCGGCTTGGTTTATTTACCTTTTCAGTGACTAAAGGGATTTGTAATTCTTATAATAACTATCGTGAGATATACTCAATTAATTAAAAACAGCAGGTTACTTAAAACTAGTAGAGATTTTCTCAGTATATTCTCACGAGTATCTCGTGATTTTTAGTTGATTGGAAATTGCTCACAATACATTTTGTATTCCATTTTAAATTTTTAACGATGTAAAAATTTTATGAAGCCACGTAACAAATAACAAGCTAAAATTGACAACAAAAAACATTTTTTAATTTCATGAAACTCCCGAGGAAGTCAATAACTAAACCCATTCTAAAATACATAAATAAACTAAAACAACCACTTAAGATGTTTTTGATAAAGAATTTCAAACGAAAATAGTTTCATGTTTCTAATCAATCAGGAAACGTTGGCGTGACGACTTAAATGGCTTTTCAAACGATTGACCTCATCTAGAAGGAAAGCAAGAAAATACCGAAGCAAAATATTTGAAAATGAAAGCAAAACAATTTCGTTTTGCTAAGAATTGTTCACTGGCTTTGTATGTTTTGTTATAAAAACTCCTGTTAACGACTCTGCATTGCGGATGATAAAATTAGACTTCTGAAGAACGTTGTCACCTTTATTTGGAAGAGAGCAAACATTTCTTTTTATTATCATCATGTCTTTATTCTTTGGGATTGTTCATTGAGTGGTATTGTGTTCTGATAAGTTTTTTGAGGAAATTACGTTGTTTTTATTGGATGGTCTCGTTCGGTCGTAAAGGTGGACCAATTATGGTTTGTTCACTTTTTGGTGGTGATATTATAACTTTAGAAGTTTAAGTATGGTTGATAATTTGAAAACTAATAATATGCTGTCAGGGAGTCGACGTAGAGACACTATGGAAATTGGAATAAAAGCGTCGAAAATCTCAAATCGTATAATTATCGTAATCTATGATCGTGAAGTTTGTTGTAGCATTCACAATTACTACACTAACAAGCTCTAAAACAATAAAATAACAAAAATGTAATTCCATTTCTTCCACCCCGCTTCGACAAGCAAAAGTTTCCCAAAATATTAATTGGGTCCTAACTACGTTTAACAAAATCATTTTCCCTTCAACTTTCTGTCACGTACGGACGTCTAAAAGATTAGAAATTAAAGTAATTGCTATAATTGGACTTACCAACGACATTCAGTTGAAAAGCCAAAGACATCTTCGGTTCGGTATTGACTTGACACTCGTAGATACCCGCGTCCCTTTCCTGCGGGAATTTTATTTGAAGCGTCCAATTTTCCGACTTCTCTGGCCTGATCACCTGGGAGAAACAGATTTGCTTTTGTTAACGGAAACAGATCTCTATCGCTAAGTACATAAGTTCTAAAACCACTAGTTCGTAGGTACTTTGAGCTATGTGGGGTTCCTTTGGAGATTCAATTTGCAGATTGGGAGATATCGTATTGAAGTTAGGCGTTATCTTTGGCGAATAGCTGAACTTGTATGGAAGGTCTAATAGTGTCGGTTGTAAACCTCCGTTTATGATATAGGTCTTAATTAATAGATAGTGCGATTGGGACGTGAATTGTAATATTTGTGTAAATAACAGAATGTTTATCTTTACCTATCCAACCCTTAATTCGCCAAGAGGTAAAATTCTGAAGGTTTAACCTTTTTTATTATACCTCTAGGTACTGAAGTTGCTTGTGTCCAATAGTTGCCTGTATATTTGGCATGGTTAGTTGTGGTTTTGTCAAAATAAATCAAACTTCTATATAGAGCCGAACAACATTTAAATCTCCTGAATGTCTTACAGTATATATGTATGTCCAATCTTATATGTATGCAAACTGAATTTCCGTACATAAATTAGGATGACAGCCGGGACTGACCGACGGAAATCACACTACCGCTCAAATTTGGATTCGTATATGTATGTATATGATAGCAGAATTTAGTATGAAGAATTGTTTGGTTACTTTATTCTTAACATTGTTCATTTTTTAATACCATTTTAATTTACCTGAATGTAAATAATTTGTTGTTGAAACATCAGCGTCTTGCTACGCTTTATCAAAATCATCATAATTATTTTAACTTTACAGAAAAGACTATATTTAAGATGAATTTAAAAGTAAACGTATTTAAAGAATTCGACTAAATAGAATATTAATATGCTGGCATCTATACAATAATCATCAATTTTATTAAGAAACAGACAAAACTTCACTCATGTCCTCGAAAAGGTCGTCCATTTAAATATTTATCAAAACGGAACTTACTTGAAACCGCTGATCCGATGTATAAGTCAGGATCCCAGCAGTTAATATATGCAGATCTCTTTTCCTAATCCAAGATACCTGCAACAAAGGAAAACTTACTGTCATTCTTTATTTCCTTGACCCAATTTGAATTCGCCATAGCACGTCCCGTCAAGGCGGGGTACTTATTAATTCAGAGCTCGCAAATTCGTTCATCGTTTTCAAATTTAAAGGAGACGTGTTGAATTTTATGCTAACAAACTTTTTGTTGGAGTTGTTTCAATTGTTTTTTTTGGGACAGATGTTTTTTATTTTGTTATTTTTTTCTGTATATGATTGTCAGTACTTTAGGCTGGTATATGGACATACGAATACGATTCATTTCGTTTACGCTGACTGCTTCGAAATACACTTGCACTAGTATTGTTATGAGTTCTATGTAGGTATAGTAAAATTATCAAAACATGTACAATTATCAAGGTTACAAGTATCAATGACTAACACGTGTCCATTTTAACACCTCAAGTAAATATATTTTTAAGTTTTTCTCTTCTCCAAATACTCATAAAATCACGAAATTTAAGACAGAGCTTGGCGTTAATTATTAGGCGTGTTAAATATAAAAAATCAATTATTTCTATGTAGTACAATGCCCAGCGACTACATCATTTTTTGTAGACCCCTCCAAGCAATAAAAAAGGTCTCATTGAAAAACACCCAAATTCATCCTCAACTAATGTTTAAAATAACTAAACAAATACTCGATCAGTTTTAATTAAATTTAAACATTTGTATGAATAATTTATTGAGCAAACTTCTCGAAGCTTCTACTGCAGATTGTGGCGCTAAAATAGCTAATAATCAATACTAGGCTCTTTGTTAGTGTACTGGTATTGTGAGAAAGTAGAACGTTCTATATTCACCACTCTGTGGTGTTTATTTTTGTAGTTGAAAGTGTGTCGTAGTAGAAAATTAGTGCTAAGAACCATTATTAACTTTGTAGCCTTCAAAGTTCATTAAAATTGGTGCTTTTGGTGGTCCGTTGCTTGCAAATACTACCTACTGTTAGGAAAACAGTCGCATAATAGAATTTTGAGTCAGTATAAAATTATTGTCTTTTATCATTTCGGCGTTTAATTTGACACTATTGGAGTACATAGTTCACACACACATGGAGTCTTTTAATATGTCTGGTGTATGCCACCATGACAGCGCAACTAGTCGTGTTAGCGTGGCTTCCGTAAGCTACCAAAGTAGATGTCAGTGTCGACACACGACACTGCAATAGTAGCGAAATGGACCTCTAATGCTGGCCTCCGCGTTGGTCTCGTCGCCATATTGGATGCGTAACCAGGTGGACACCAGGTGAGTAACTATCTATAGACCTGTACAAAATAAATATTTTGTTGATCATATGGTGGCGCCGCCTTGGTGACCCAGTGACATATATGCCTTATTGTTGGATAGATCGCAAGTTTAGTGCGACTTTTAAACAAGAGGTCTAGTTTAGCAAGCATGCAAAGAAAGCACAGGGAAACATAGGAATTAAGCAAGCATGATAAATTCCTTTGCTGGGCAATGAAAAAATGGCGTCCAGCTAATACGTTAACACCCATCAATACATAACATTCATTAAAGTCATAACATTACTATCAAAAAGTGTACGTTAATTGCTTATCCATTTGATATCTATCCTCTATATAAATAAAAATGAATTTCCGTTCGTTAGTTTCGCTAAAACTAGAGAACGGCTAAACCGGTCTTCAAATGTTCGTGGAAGTCCAGGTGAGGTTTAAAGGTGAGAACAATTTTTAGGCAGTAAGAAGTTCCCCAGTTCAGCTAGTTGGAATTAAAAGTACCTATTTAAAACCTTCGTTTTAGTAAGTATTCAAAATTGGCCAACAAGCTCTCTGAATGCAGATTACGGTCTACCTAACTTAACGGTTGAGTGCGGACATATCAATTGTTATACGATAATCTAATATGTTATACTCAAGGGAGCAACAGCTTGAGTCACTATTGTCCATGAATATCTGGAACATGGCTTGTATTAAATTAATTTACATTTTGCAATCTTATTACTTGTTCGTATAAGGTCTAATTTTAATTAGCTACGGTTTTTGTAGTGTGGTTTATCCCAAAAGAAACAAAAATGAAGTATATTTACAACATTTTGCCTTATAAAGCAAAACTCAACTGACAGTGCTTTGAAAATCATAACATAAACATAACATCACGCCTATTATCCCCGAAGGGGTAGGCAAAGGTACACATTATGCCACTGTACAATGTAACACCCACTTTTCACTATTTATGTTATGAGTCCCATGTAATAGGGGGTGAGCCTATTGCCATATACCGGGCACAATTCCAGACTCCGTGCTACTACTGAGAATTTTTAAAACCCAATACTTTGCCCGACCCGGGGATCGAACCCGAGACCCTTTGCCCGGCAGTCACACTTGCGACCACTAGGCCAACGAGGCGGACTGCTTTGAAAATCCTAGTATAAGACTTTTCCCAAGACTATTATAATAGGTATTACTATAATACTATAAGGATATAAGAACTCTTATAGGAATACTTTATTTTCAGATAATCATGAATTTACAACCATTTTCGCATTAAGAAAATAATCAGCGTAATTAAACACCATATACGGAGACTGTAATATTGTGCCCGGTATATGAAAATAAACCCCCTATTACATGGAACTCATTACATAAATTGTGAAAAGTGGGTGTAACATTATACAGTGGCATTAAGTGCCGTAATGTGCACCTTTGCCTACCGCTTCGGAAGTAAAAGGCGGGATATTAGGTAATTGATCTAAAAAAATATCACCAAAATCTGACATCAAACAACACAATCCTAGAACGACCTCGAAAGCCCACTTAATAGACTTACAACATGGAAAAAATTGGTCCAATTTCAAATCACGTGACTAGCCGCACCTGACTTAATTGCCGCCATATTGATTGACGTGCTTAATTGAAACATTATTAACAGTATTGGGCATATACCGCAGTATCGGAAAAGGGTCAAGGCCACTAGCGATGTCACTTACGTCGTTCTTGATACTGGTATATTTTCAGTGCGGCATTATGGGACATGGGACGCATTATGAAGAGAAAAGGATCTTGTTGATAGGACTTTGTTAGGAGAGATGTAGGGTTCATTTTGCCTTGGCAGGTGCTGTTCTAAAACTGCTGTATATGGCTTGCAGATATTTATTGCTTATTTTATATAGAACTTTCCTGGCTTTATGAAAAATGCATTTCGAACTTCTCTTTCACTATAGTTTCGCCTCTTAATAATTGAGTTGGTGTTGAAAAAGATGCTGAGTAGTTAGATTTCAGGGGACAGATTTAGATATTCATAACATAACATCACGCCTTTTATCCCCGGAGGGGTAAGCAGAGGTGTACATTATGCCACTGTACAATGGAACAACCAATTTTCACTATTAATGTTATGAATCCCATGTAATAGGGGGTGAGCCTATTGCCATATACCGGCACAATTCTGGATTCCGTGCTACTACTGAGAATTTCATTATATAGTCATTAAAATTTGGTTTGAAATGGATAATTGATGAAGGTCTTGATTTGAGTGACACAGTTTGTGAAATACTTTAGAACCTATAAATTTGTAGTTCAGCTCTTTGTGATATGGGTACAACTATTTTTATAGGTATGGATTGTTATATTGTTTGAGTATGTGCTTAAAATAAATTTAAGAATAAAAATTGCATTTAAAAACCGAATTTAAAAAACAAAAAACTAATAATAAACAAAAAACTAATTTACAATTTTGTGGCCATTAAGTTATTTCATTATGATATGAGCTTATGGCACCGACTTCTAATCTATTAAAAAAAAACAATGAGCCGAACATAGTACCTTTTCCTTTTTTGAAGTCGGTAAAAAAGAAGCGGATGATACATAGACAATTTATTTATAACACATACAACTAGAAATAAGTATAATGTTGGTATGTTCCATCATATTTTGTCAACGCCTAACTCTAAGGATGCGTACAATTTAATTAAGTTTGTTTTATTGCGTTTTAGTGTATAGTTTATTAATTGTAGTTATATAATTTATTAGATTTATAAGATTATAAGGTCTGATGGGACTGACATGTACATTTGTATAAAAGTCCCTAAATAAAATAAAGAGAAAAAAAAAAGAGATAGAAGTTGGTCAAATATATCGTGAAACAGCAAGTAATGCAGCAATAGCATAGAAACCACCCAAGAGACCAACAAAGCATCGACAACACCTCATAAATTCGATTCATAATACCTACACCATAGAACGATCTAATTGTGAGCGGACGGCTAATGAAACATGTATTATAAGCATGGCTTTGTATGGCCCATAGCACGCTAGAGTGGCTCGGTCGAGGCCTCATAGCAAAATGATGGGTCTATTACTTTCTGATTGAAATATGGTCGTGGATTGAATTGTATTGTAGAAATGAAATAATATCTGTAGAAATTGAGTAGTCATCATCAACAGCCTATAAATGCCCACTGCTAAGCAAAGCCTCTTCTCATACGGAGAAGGTTTAAGCATTAATCACTACGCTTGCTCAATGCGGGTTAGCGATTACAAACTTATAATTAGAAATTATAAGCCCAGGTTTCCTCACGATGTTTTCCTTCACCGTTTGTCAGTGGTGTCTCAATAATCTTAGTAGGAATTGAGTAGTGTATAGTTGATATTAAGTGATGGTAAGAACAATTGATTAGATAAAGATCGTAATTAGTTTGAGACGATCTTAATAGTTTTGCATATTGACCGATGTTTGTCATAAGTCAAGGTTTGTAAGTCCCTGGGTTTTTTTTTTAAGGGGGAATATTATGGGATGACTGCTCCCGCCTAGGTGAGGCGGGAGGAGTGTCAGACTCTTACTGACTAAAACTTGCACGCCCCGGGAATTGAAGCCGAGGCTTCTTGTCGGGTAGTCGTACTTGCGACCACTCGGCCAACGAGGCAGTCAACTAAAGCTCAAGAATATTTACTTAAGGCAGTTGTCGTAAGGACGATTCTTTATATAAGCAGAAAAAGTAAATATACAAAACAGGAAAAAAAAAAACATTTTTGTCCAACATTTATCCTTATGCACCCCATTCTACTGAAACCCATCATCGGGCATTGCCTGGACTGTCAACCGTGCAACAAATGTTGCAGAGAACAGCAAACAGGAAAACCCAGCATAAATTGACCTCTATATCTACCAACTGTTTAGAAAGAACATGACCAGTTGTCATTGGTGGGTCAAGTATTCTTCTTTATGCGACCGGGATACAGTTGAGTACCAGTATATTGTGACCTTTAGTGCTGATCCGGGCGTTGAACGTACGATGACAGGGTGAGGTTCCGGTCCAGACAAAATGCACCGTCAATGGTCCTTTATGAGCCAGTTAAAGTGCTGCGTAAAGTATCTATTCGCAAGAAGCTAGTCAGAAGGAAAAATACTCCTGCTTTTTCTAAGGGAATGAATTCATGAATCTTGATGTTGTTTATAGGTATGGTATTTGAAAATCAAAAATACAATTTTTTTGTATTGAAATAACCAACAAATTAAATCCAGAAAAACCCTGATCCGAATCTCTTTCCGATTATTCTACGAAAAAAGATTATTCATTTAAACCAATGTCTATAATAAATAGAATGAAAATTATATCAAAAAATTATGCCAAAAAAGTAATTCATGCATGTACTCCATTTTTGGATTTGTCTCCATTGTTTTGCATTGTCCATTTTCTTGGGTAGTTTCGAAGAACATCGCCACAAACTCAAAAGATTTGCAAACTTTTTAAAAATCTTAACAGCTTCATAATAAACTATAGTAAAATAAACTATCTTACTCACCGCTTTGTCACCGAGTTGTTCAACCCTACAATGGAGAAACGCGGTCTGTCCGACCACTGTAGTCACATTCCGAGGCACATTGTATTCGAAGTACGGAAATGACCCCACGCTGTCCTCTCCATAGTGCGCGGTACCTGCGACCAAAGAATGCTTTTTGTTATTTTATTTTTATATACATATACAAGTTTGGGGTTGTTTTTTATTGAGGTTGTAGTTTTTGCTAGTAAAACTGAGAAAATTTTACTTGTTTTAAATTAATAATAAATGGTACATAAACCCGTTTTAATTTTAATTTTACGGAAAATAAATATATAACACAGTAAGAAAAATAAACATTTTTGCATAGCACTAGTACTTAATAGTACGTTCTGCCACTCATAATGTTAGAATATTAGAAGTATTAGAACCTCTTGTGACATATTATTCAGAACTTCATGCTAATTCAGAAATCTGAAAACCATAAACACACTATTGTATGCTGTATACTTTAACAACCCTTTAGCATATTTTCCAAAACTTTTAGAGCACCAACCTCTAACCTAACCGAACTAAACCAACCAAAACCCAAAAATTCAACCTGCATTCATTCCATTCTGACTTTGACAAGACAGTTCATTGACTGAACCACGCACTCGACTTCAAACGTCCAGTATCACTGTGGAGTTGAACTGCGTCAGTTACCATACAGTTCCAACAATTGTATAAGCTTGAACTAGATTTCATTCGAGGTACTGGTTTTATCAGTTATTCGTTGAAAATCCGACTATGTGTGTGTCTGGCGAAAGTAACTGGAATATTGTCTAATTGTCTCTAAAGATCAGCACGTGTAAGCAAATTTCGTGTGGGTCACTATGGATTAGTTTAGTGTAGTTTGACCTTAGATTTGATGTTTTTATGCATTGATAAGCTGTGATTTTTAATATAATTGCAGCTGAGTTTTATGTGTTGCCTGTTTTATGGGATACGGGGCAAACTGTTTAACTGTTTGCTCAGACGGTAACCCGTCTGCGCAGCGATGGCGCTGCCCATAGGCATCCGCAAGGGCAAAAGAGTTTCAAGTGCGTTCCAACCGTTAAGAGGAGCGGAATTATTTTTCCGGATCATATCAAGGTCCTAAATTGTTTAAATCTTTTAATTTCTTACCAAAAAGAAGATTGCAAGTTGAAGAAAATGTTTTATAACATCATAGAAAACGATTAAAGTTATACAAGAATTACTTAGAAACATCTCACTTTAAAGATTGTATCTCTAAATTGCTATTTACATATTATTTTGCATCCTTTTTATATAAATTGGGCCAATTTATCTTCTTTGCAAGTCAAAATAGGAAAAGAAATGCTCCTAATGCCTAAGCAAGTTGGTGGCGTTGATAAATTATGCGCAAAGGGTCACTTTGACGTTTGATATACATGGGTGCTAGAATTTGTAGCCAATCGCCTTTTACTATAACGATACCCTTTTTCACGATTTGTGATTTCAATTTGCTTATTTGTACGTTTGAATCTTATTCTGATACTATTGGTCGTTTCGTGCTTGTATAATTTTGATTGATTACATAGTGATAGGACGGAGAAGACTAATTGGTTCTTCTTCTATATTTATTTGGAACAGATGTCTATCGTTGATTAGAGTAAACTAAAATCTGCTCAGTATATTCTCCTTTTTTCTCATACACATTCTGACACACGAGAAATAAAATGTTATCTAAAAACCAATTAATCTTCTTTCAAGTCTGCTGATTTCTACATACTTATATATACATACATAGTTAAGTGGGCTAGATTTACTAGATTTTCATTGATCTGTGAGACATTCTTCATCAAATCTGTGTCTAGTTCCTACATACTATCATAGACCTAATCTGAGATCATGTCGTGGTAGCCCGGAGGCTTTAGACGTCCTCTTCTCATGCACGAGGGTTAGAAACCGACTAATGGCAAGTATTAATGTAACTATTTCCGAGTTATATGCACTATCTAAGATTATTTAGATGCCACTAACAAACGGTGAAGAAAAACTGGACTTATAATTTCTAACTATAAGTTTGAAATCGCCAACCTGTACTGAGCAAGCGTGGTGATTAATGCTCAAACCTACACCATGTGAGAAGAGGCCTTTAGTTCAGCAGTAGCTACTTATAGGCTGTTGATGTGATCTAAGATCTTATACTTCTCAAGGTTTATTCATTCTGTAACTTATTTACAACCTAAAGAACGGCTCCACCAAAAGTTTTGTGTTATTGTAGTCCTTCAAACGCAGCCTTAATGTGGCTCATTACATGATACCTAGCGATTCTCTTTCTAACAAAAAGAATAGAAGAAAGCACAATTATTCAACACAAAGGATTCTGTTGATTAAGAAATTATTCAGTGGAACAACATTCTGTGAATTAATGCTGTTGTTCAGGTGAACAGCCTAATTTTAAAGGCCATTAAAGACCTTTTTTGTAGATAAAACCCTTTGAAATGATCCTAATGTTTAGGTATTTCGCTAATTGTTTCTTTTGTGTTCAAATTCTGTTATTTGTAGGCTGCAGTATTGCTTAATATTATTGTTCTCGCGAAAATTAGGCGTTGGATTTTTGGACTATATTTGTGTGAACTATATTATTAGATAACTATATATTAGAGAAGGAGTATTCTATCTTGTTTAGTATAACACTCACTTTTTTTTAAAAGGGGGAAAAATCATCGAATGTCTTCTCCTGCCTTTCAGACTCTTACTGACTAAAAACTACCCCCTTCCTTCTCCTGCACTTCGAACCGGAGCCCCGGTAACCCATTATGTTTTCCGCGACTCAGTAGTGGTCTGATGGCTCTTTGAGGCACGCGTGGTACGCAACGCGCCTTACGCTAAGGAATTATTAATCACTAGAATCATCAATCAGTGGTTTTAATAATAATTGGTAAAAGATGTGGATTTAGATATGTAGCGACGCACATAGGCTATCGACGACAAAAATGACGTCATAAATCCTAAATTCCACAATTCAACAGCCAAATAAATTATACATAGAAAATCACGCACAACTGTTGGGCAGTGGCCCGCCAGGCATTATTAACCACACCTGGTCGAACGAACCTCCTTTTTCGATCTTAGGAAACTTAACTTCTCTAAAAATTGGAAAAAATATTCATCGTTAGTTCAAGTTTTGTAAATCTGTGGCAATAGCACGAGGTCTAGAATTGTATATGACAATAGAATCACCTCCTGTTGCATATTATTTATCCTACCCTTTTTTGGAATAAATAGCATAATATTATGTATGCTACGTATTATACATTTCTAAGCTAAGTATTTAAGACGGGCGTCTTATAACTTCTCATGCATGAGGGTGCGGGTTCGAAACCTACCAACGGCAAGTACCAATGTGACTTTTTCCGAGTTATATGTACTTTCTAAGATTATTTAGACACCACTGACAAACGGTGAAGGAAAAACATCGTGAGGAAACCTGGACTTATAATTTCTAATTATAAGTTTGAAATCGCCAACCCGCATTGAGCAAGCGTGGTGATTAATGCTCTAACCTTCTCCGTGTGAGAAGAGGCTTTGCTCAGCAGTGGGCATTTATTGGCTGTTGATGAAGCTAAGTAAAACCAGAAACTACTGGACATACATAACTCAGATATATTCCTATATGTTATTACGTAAGCAAAGGTATTTTATATCAACCGATAGCCGTTCACAATCCAATTACTGCTGGAATCGATACCCTAAGGTTAGAACACGGTCAGGCTGTGGTCAGACTTTCAGGTTCCAGATACACTACAAGTAACTTAAGGTTATAAAGGTTAAACTATTTAGTTACAGCGTGTAGAGGTTTGGTGTAATATTCATAAAGTAGATATTCTGAAACAAACACTAGTTTGGAGTTGTGTAGGAGTTCAATATTTTGGTGGATAATACCTAAGTAAGTTTTTTGACTGCCTCGTTTGCCGAGTAGGTAGGAGTGCGACTGCCGGACAAGGGGTCTCGGGTTCGATTCCCGGGTCGGGTAGAGTATTACTGGGTTTTTAAAGAAATCAAAAAGTAGCATGGAGTCCGGAATTGTGCAAGGTATATGGCAATAGGCTCACCCCCTATTACATGGGACTCATAACATAAATAGTGAAATGTGGGTGTAACGTTATACAGAAGTATTAAGTGCCGTAGATGATGTGCACCTCTGCCTACCCCTTTGGCGATAAAAGGCGTGATTTTATGTTGAAGTTATGTTATCTCTAATTAGAATTTTGCCAAACGAACAAATTACGTATACTATCGCTGTAATTAACATCAAATTAATGTATTTAACTGGAGCTTTTTGAAATGCGCTAGTTGCAGTTCTCCGGTTAGTTAGCGACGCATGAAATAACTCAAATATTTATGCAATCATTCGTATGACTCTCATTACAGTATAAACGATTCTGTATTTATGTCGCGTTCTGATTAATATGTAACGCGATGTATAATTTTGGCTGTTTTTGTTAAAATTACGGCCCATATAGATGTGCAAATAATGTGATTTATCCGGTAATTGCTTTGATATGGTTTTTACTTGGAATCAAAAATTAAATCTTTATCTATATCTATACTATCTATACTAATATTATAAAGAGGAAAGATTTGTATTTTTGTATGTTTGTAATGAATAAACTCAAAAACTACTGAACCGATTGCAATAATTTTTTCACCATTCGAAAGCTGCATTATTCAGAAGTAACATAGGCTATATAATATCACGCTAGGTCCTATAGTTGTGGAGCAGTAACCAAAAATGTTTTAAAAACGGGGGAAAAGTATCGTTTCTGAGGCCTTCCGTGGCGTGCGCTGAGCATATAGTTAAAGTTATACAAAAATGTTCTATAGATGAATTGTTTATCTTAACATTATTTTTAAAAAAGTCCCCGAGAGCATATGTCTACCTTTTATAGTTTACCCATAACAATCGTTTTAATGAATGGTTCTATCTTTATAAAAGTTTGCTCTAGATAACTTTTGAATTGTTCAATCGGTTACCTTAAGACGCGACATCGACAACGGAGGGCAGGTCGCTAAAAAAAAAAACTGAGAATAAATATAAATAAAACGTAAAACTATGTAAAAAATCTTAAGTCCCCCCGTGCGAAGCCGGGACGGGCCGCTAGTTTACTATATAAAAATAAGTCGGGTTTCCCTTTCTGACGCTATAACTCCAGAAAGCACGAACACATTTCCACGGTTTTGCATTCGTTGGAAAGGTCTCAGGCTCCGTGAGGTTTATAGCAAAGAAAATTCAGGAAACATTTTTTTTTTATAATTTTTCTTCACCTTTTAATCACCAAACGAAATGTCTCATAAAACGATTTTGGTGGCGAAATGGAGTTCGTCGAGTTTGCTAGTCTGATGATATAAATGAACTTGATTATAATACGATGTTATTACTTAGAATTTTTGAATAACTGACATGAATGCATTAAGCTTTCTTGTGCATAATGCTAAAGCCTTGATTTTTTGCCAGTATTTTCTGAAGGGTTATAACCTGGGTGAACACACCCAGGCACCCTTGAAGACAAGGCCGGAGTGAATAGGTTGCTTATGGGACGACTTGCTCCAACGTAGACCGCATCATCGCTTACCTCCAAGCGAGATAGTGGTCTGACGTTTGACCCATTTATTGTCGGTTTTTCGTTCGACCCATTTATTTTTTGCCCATCAAATATAAAAAAGCAAATCAAATAATTATATGCATTATTCTTTTATTGTCGGTTTTTCCAATCTAAGAGCTAAACTACTAGCTAGATCACATAATTCAATTTAGTAGGTTCATACTAGCATAATTCATTTTAGTCCTATTAGTAAGAAATAACTAGTTAAGAAATTAACGTGTTACATAAAATTAGGTAGATACTCTTAATACACACAATTGGGTACTTGCCAACTAGTCAAATTCAATACTTTTTTCTTTGAATTTTGTACGAGATTGTGTATTGTGACGTCACGTGTTTTTAGTGTCAACCAGCATACGTCGGAATACTGAAACGCTACTCAATTTTAAGTCGTGCTTAAGTATAGTTCTATCTCTACAAATTCTTTGTAAAATGATAGAGATGGCACGATATTTGAGCACGACTTAAAATTAAGTACCGTTTCAGTATTACGGCAATAGATACTTATTTCTTAAAAAAATGCTGGAAAAATACTAAAATTAAGTTTGTCATAAAATCAATTAATGAAAGTGTGATTATTTTTTAATATTTTAGTTT